CATATTTTCAAGTTCAGGAGAGAAGAAAAGGCGGTTGCACGAGTCTTTTCATTGTTTCACACACGTTGCTCAGTGACATTGACACCTCCAAATGATGTTGAATGAGTCACATACTGTATTTATAAGGTATAATTTACCTAAAAATGTCATTTTTGTCTTAATATAATGATGTTTTCGCAATCGGGAAATCACACGTCACTTGAGCTGCTGACCGTGAGCTGTTATCACAGAGAAGGCGCGTGCGCGTGCTCTACTTAATGATAGAACCTGCATATGTTGCGAGTAACAGGTAATACAGTTGTAAATAATATTCAGTTCGTGGCACAGAGTGATCATTTGTGAGCCACGCGAAGTATGAACAAGCACTCAGCAGTCAAAATGAAACCGAAAGTGTGCACTTCATTTAAATGATCATATCGCATTTTAGAGTTATGATTACGACAAGCATTTGATATGTTTTTTCTTTCATAGCGAACACACAGTTGTGCATGAAAATAAATGTTTACAATGTCAGTATAACTACTCTAGCCTATATATTGTTGATTATAATCTGATAATGGCAAATGTCTGATTTTACCAGTGAATAAAATTGTCTAATATGACAGATTGCAAGCATATATCTCAAAGATAATAATTCAACATCAGAATTATTATAAGTAGAATAGAATTATTTATAGAAACCAGTAGACCTACACATAATCTTATTATCGATGTTGTGCCATATGTTTGTTTTTACCATACCTTTATTTTACATCTACAGAATTGGGAGAGAATCGTGATCTTTATTTTAAGCAAAAAAATCGCGATTCTTATTTTAGCCAGAATCGTGCAGCTCTAACACACCTTTATAATGTCATAACAAACTTTTGTTTTGGATGCGATAAATCACGATTTACTTTTGCCAAAGGCTCTAGAATACACGAGACATGTCACCCGTATCTATTTGAATGGGGAAAAGTTTAACGGTCAATATGGTGAATAAAGCCCTGCCTACTAGTACAGGAGCCAATCATCGATCGCTATATGGAGAATAAAGCCCGCCTTCTAGTACAGGAGCCAATCATCAATCGCTAAAGACTGATGATACTACAGGGGAGGGGCTTGGACCAGATGTGAGTTTCTACCGATTTTGTGTGAATTGGACGTTTAGAAATTAAACTAAAGAGACGGATGTTGTTTAATTTTATTGGTGATTTATAATATGAAATTCAATGGTAAGCTTGGCAAGCAGTTTGGGATAATTTGATGTTTCCCCATTCAGACCGAATGCCCGAGCTTACTGCCCGAGAAGTGTTTCTAAGATGGCTGCAGAGTGAAATAACTTGCCTTAAAGGGACTTTGCTTTTGCCCAGCACTAATTTAAATGTAATTTTAATTCAAAGTCATTGTTAATGATAATTGACCATTCAAAACTATTTAAATAAATAGTGTTAAGTATTTAAATAATTATTTAATATATTATAAATACACTATTAACAACAAAAGATAATTTTGACTCGATGGTTTTAGTGTGATTAGGAATGTAATATGGATCAAAAAAACATTGAGTGACTGGAGTGGCTTTATTGCATTAGATATATGTCACCTTTCTTACAGCTGATTGGTGCAGTTTAAGTTTGCCATCTCTAAACCAGTTTGAGCAGATTAGCAGAGATTCAACCATCAACTCTAAATCCTAGACTTTTGTTTTCAATCATAGACCTCTGGAAATTTTAGTCAGAAGATCCTGACCACATTTCGGATACTCTGTATTTAAAGCTATTGACCTTATTCTAAAATGCGGAAGTGCGCCTGTTTTTGCGATTGTTTTAGAACTTCTGATTCAGTCGCCTATGGGAGAAATGACTAGGAATAATAAACAGCAGAAAATGGCCAAACTACTTGCTCTACAAACAAATGTTTGCATGACTATACAGACCAAGTAGAATAATATAATAAGAAAATATCAGTTTGCAACATCAAGCAGCATAACAAGCAGTTTTTAACGTCTAAAAATGAATGGACGTGAATGAGACCGGAAGTCTCGAGCCAAAAAGATTCAAATGTCTACGCCTGCTCGATAACAAATAATAAGGTGAATAAAATTAGGCAGTACTGTTTAACATGACTTCTTCTACTTTATGTGCATATATTTATTATTGGGTGATCTTCTTTAACTCTCCCCTCTGAACTTTTGCTAGTCGTCTCATGATGGATGTGTTTGGGAAGCTCTCTCTTCCTCTCTATCTCTTTGTCTTTCTCTCTGTATGGGGGTTATTAATGCATCACAGATGTGCAGTGATGGGTGGGAAGTTGTTCTGAGCTTTTGAAGACGTTTCATTTGCCAAAGTTTGAGATAAAGGAGGAATTTGTTTTGAAACTAGACTCGCATTTAATGTGTTTTTGACATAATAGTGTGCAGTATTTTTCATTTTAAGTCAGATAAATGAGTTACAACTCTTATTTGAATTAATTAGCAAAAAAACAACAATAACAAAAAGATAATTTATGAAAATTCATGTCAACAGTGCTATCATAATTCACTACTGTTGTTTGTTTCTAATACTTGTTTATTATATTATTACTTTATTTATTCTTGTTTTTAATAACATAATATATGTTCGGTTTTAGGGCTGTGTTTCCATATCCCTGGCAGATGGTCAGCACTCAGCATGCCTGAAATAGATTTAGAACTTTGCCAAATTAAAAAAAAAAAACAGGACATGTCAGCAGTTTTGTGCCTGAATGAGACCCTCCTTTTCTCGTATCCGGTCTTTTGGATGACTAACTGGCTGTACTGTAAATGCATTATTGCATAGAGCAATATGTGGGGATTTCTCTGTCACCTTTTACTGTCTGCTTTTGCATCATAAGTGCAGAGTTCTGTTGATATAAATATTTCAATAGTCTTGGGAAATGGAAAACACTTTGAATTTATACCCTTTAATTAATATATTTTCAGGTTATTATCTTAGATGATGAAATGTCCTACTTTGTCGCAGCATGTTTACTGCGCTAGATTTTTAAAAGACAACTTGGCACTTTTATCTTATGTTTTTCATCCTTTTGTTTAAGTTTGTTAAAATGTTTAAAAATAAATAATACACCAATCAGAATACACTTACAAGTAGGGCTGCACGAAAATCTGACTATTTGAACAGCTCTTTGAAAAGATTTCATTCATTTAGATCGACTGGGATGATCTAGTGTTTTTCAATACAAAGCTTGTGTATAAAATATATTACAATCATATATATATATATATATATATATATATATATATATATATATATATATATATATATATATACATACACTCACCGGCCACTTTATTAGGTACACCTATTTAACCACTCATTAAGGCAAATTTCTAATTGGCCAATCACATACCAGAAACTCAAGACGATCTGCTACAGTTCAAACAGAGCATTAGAATGGGGAACAAAGGGGATTTAAGTTACTTTAAATTACAGAGAATGGTCCAAAAAAAAATTAAATATCCAGTGAGCGGCAGTTCTGTGGGTGCAAATGCCTTGTCTGAGAATGCCTTGTCTGAGAATGGCCAGACTGGTTCAAACTGATAGAAAGGCAACAGTAACTCAAATAACCACTTGTTACAACCAAGGCATGCAGAAGAGCATCTCTGAACGCACAACATGTCCAACCTTGTGGTGTATAGACTACAGTAGCAGAAGACCACACCGGGTGCCACTCCTGTCAGCTAAGAACAGGAAACTGAGGCTACAATTCACACAGACTGAACAAAATTGGAATGTAGAAGAATGGAAAATGTTACCTGGTCTGATGAGTCTTGATTTCTACTGCGACATTTGGATGGTAGGGTCAGAGTTTGGTGTCAACAACATGAAAGCATAGATCCATCTTAATTTGTATCAACAGTTCAGGCTGGTGGTGGTTTTATATTTTCTTGGCACACTTTGGGCCCATTAGTACAAATTGAGCATCATGTTAACGCCACAGCCTACCTGAGTATTGTTACTGACCATGTCCATCTCTTTATGACCACAGTAAACCCATCTTCTGATGGCTACTTCCAGCAGGACAACGTGCCATATTATAAAGTGTGAATCATCTCAGACTGGTTTCTTGAACATGACAGTCAATGAGTTCACTGTACGCTGTACTCAAATGGCTCAATCCAGTAGAGCACCTTTGGGATGTGGTGGACATGAGATTCACATCATAGATGTGCAGCCGACAAATCTGCAGCAACTCTGTGATGCCATCATGTCAATATGGACAAAAATCTCTGAGGAATATTTCCAGTACCTTGTTAAATCTATGCCACGAAGGATTAAGGCAGTTCTGAAGGCAAAAGAGGGGCAACCCGGTACTAGTAAGGTGTAAAATACAACATATATAAATATGACAGAGCAAAAATAAAAGTAAAATAAACAGTGCTTTGTGGTTTTCTGTGGAGTCTAATAGTATTCAAATACCGAAATCGAACTATCAAACCTAAAATAACATGTTCATTGTTGTATAAACATAAATATATTGTTTAATAATATCTTTATCTTTTAATCTTTGATAAATTATCTAATCCTGTGATGTGATGATTGTGGATAGCAACATTGCGAGATTGATGCTCTGATATATTGTTAGCCCAACTTAAAAGGCATTTTAAATTTTTAAATAATAAATAATCGTTCACTGTATTTTGAATTGCCCCAATAATATTATCTTGCATATTTGTAATCAGAATATATTGTGTTATTAAATATCAGCACATCTGCTTCAGTGTTTAGTGTCATATGACTATTGTATATTCATAAATCATTATATCTTATTGTTGGAAACTGTCAGTAGTTTTCTGGAAGCTTAAACATTTTTTAAAAATGTTTAATGAACAAAGTTGACAAGAACAGCATTTATTTCAAATTGGCATAACATTGAATGTCCTTACTGTCAACGTTTGCTAAATAGAAGTGTTCATTTCTCTCATCATTTTTCATGCGTATCTCTCCTATGTTTTTCAGCATTCTGTGTTTGTGTTTCAGAATTCCGCTCTCCTTCTCACATCAGCGGACTGAACAGATCTGCATCTCTGAGCTACACGGACCGTCCTGAATCGCAATCCGTCAGCGGCAGCAACACACAGCTCAGCAGCTCAGCTTTACCGCAGTACACACCAGACTTTAACGTGCGAGCCCTGGCAGATCTACAGTTTGTGAAGGTAAAGACATGAGATGTTTAAAGATGTAGCTAAAAGTTTTCTGCAAGAAAAAAATAAGCATCATTACTATAATGGTGTTTTAATAGTGTTTCGACATTAGGAATGAAAATTCCCATGATCGATTGTCAATTTAATTAACAATATAAATATTCACACAAAATTTTAAAATGTCATTTTAATTCCCTGAGACCTTCATTCACTTTCAGAAAAAAAAAGAAAGAAATTTTAGATGAAATCCGAGAGCTCTCTGGTCCTCCATAGACAGCAATAATCTCAAGATGTTCAAAGTCCAGTAAAGGAACCGAAGCAACCCATGTGACTTCAGTGGATCCACTGTAATCATATGAAGAGACTTTTCGTAGACTTTTGTGCACCAAAAAACTAAATAATGTGACAAGAAAAACAAGAACAGGTTTACTTCACAGGCACATTATGTAATTCGTCACCAATAACAAACCAAAAATAATTCAAACCACTATTTGTATCATAGTGTTTACACAGTTATATCAGTACTTAGTTGTGCAGCCATTAAGGCCTAATTATACTTATGTATTGAGTGATCTCTGTGTCCCACGGTGCAGCCTTTTCATGTAGCTGACTCTATTGTGAGCATTATACTTGTATGTGTGATGCTACCGTAACAGTAGTTCAACCTCTGATACATTCAGGGAAGAAAGAGACGGTAGTTGCATGTTGTTTACATGTAGAATACGTGTTGTTTACATGTTGATTTTTTTATGCATCGAGAACTTGTTGTTTGTGTGAAAATATGTTTACAACCCCCTCCCTACAGGCATGCCAGAATATGTTTTATGCAGCTGGGAAATTCTTGGGTTATAATTTGTCTGTTTATTTTATTTTTATTGAAAAATATATCTAGTGTCTGAATGATTTTAGGTTTGACTGCATCTCTCACCACCATTAATTCCATCTCTCCTGTTTTCCAGATCACGCGCTCTCAGTACCAAAACGGCCTGATGGCGTCTCGTCTGGACAGCTCTCCTCAGTCTCCAGACAGCGGACACGGCCGACAAGTGGACATGGACAACAGCACGTCGTCAGCTCCCCATCGCACTTCCGAAAACATGCTGACGCTCGCAGACGCCTCCGACGAGACCACCTCGCTCCTCAACGAACAGAACAGCCAACCTGCCCGCCAGGCCAACCACAACACACACAACGAGAGTGCCATATGACACGCTCTCACACACACACACGTCCCACACAACCACAGCACTTTTCCAGAACTTGTGTTCATCGAAAGCCCGTTTAGCTCTAGCCATCATAGCTCCCGGTGTAAACAGTGCGAGTCTATGAGGTGCAAACAAAAGATTTAACCTGCGAGACGAAGGCACAGAGAAGCCAAAGACTGAGAAAAAGACCCCCGTTTCGGACGGACTCTTTTATAGACTGCGCGGATAGAGACGTTTCTATATATATATATACATATATGAAGATGTTTATTTTGTCAGCTCATTTCGTTGCTCACGGAAGCTGAACGAGGGAACTGTGGATGCCTTTTTATTTCATGTTAGTCCATAGCTAATGCGAGTTTGTACTCTATTCGTGTGTGTGTGTGAGTGAAAGTGAGAGTGTTTGTGATAGAGATACATGGTGTGCCATTATGTTGTGTATGGCAAGCGGTTTTAACATTTATTTTAGAAAATTCATACTAGTGTCGAATGTTACTTGGACTTATTTTTAGATAAGAATGAAGGGCGGTAGGAATGAAAATCCCCATGATTGATAGTCATTTAAATTAGCGATCAGTTGATACAATAATAATTATCCTTAAAGGTTTAGTTCATCCTTAAATTGTTAGTAATTACTCATTCTCATTGTCACGATAATGCAATTTAGTACCAATCAGTACTGAAATCTTAAGAACGTCCATTCCCCAATAACGTTTAAGCGCTGTTGAGCACGTTCTTAAACCGCTCTGATTGACCATTGTGGTCACATGCTCAACAGAAAAAAGCAACGTGTTCCTTTAAGCACTACTTTTTTAGCTTCTAGTGCTTCGGGTCCTAGTAGTTTTTAAAATATACTAGCTTTTATTGATTAGATACACAGTAGTACACATTCATTAGATGCCAATACTAAAAAATATATACTTACTCATTAGATACTAGTTAGTATTCATGAGTTACTGGTAGTTAATATTCAATATTAGTACTTAATGGTTAGATATTAGTACCTAATAAATAGATACAGTACTTATTCATTATACACCAGTATAAATTTCAATAGTTTCTGTTGCTGCAAACACTTGTCACTTACATATATTCACTAGTACTAGATAGTTATTTATTTAGCACAATTATGTTTTATTACTGTTATTCTTAGTAACAAATCTTGTATAACAACTACTTCTTTCCCTCATCTTTTGTTATGGCAAGTCAGATAGGTGTTAAATTAATAATCTTAGACAGCGCTGAGATTATTAAAGGTACTAGGACCTAAATAATAAGCACTAGTTCCTAATAAATAAGTGCTAGTACTTAAAGGAACCCTCCACTTTTTTTGGATGTGTCTCTTTTTACAGCTCTCCTAGAGTTGAACATTTTGACCATTTTTAAAATCCATTCAGTCGATCTCCGGGTCTGGTGGAAGCACATTTAGCTTAGCTTAGATCATTGAATCGGATTAGACCATTAGCATCTCACTCTATTTTTTAAAGAAACGTTTAGATCTCTTTCCTGTCTAAAGCTTGACACTTCTGTTATTTTATCATTCATTTAGACCAACAGAATATGAAAAGTTGCGTTTTCTAGGCTGATAGGAACTATACTCTCATTCCGGCGTGATAATCAAGGAACGTTTTTGCTGATCCAGGACCATAGCAGGCACTATAATATTGCACAGCACCTGAAAATAGTCATCTAGGTAATAAAGTAACATCGCTGTCATGGTACAGCAACAAAGTTTCTTGACTATTACATTTTTTTTGTTTTTTTTTGGTGATTTTCATCCCTGAATAAGATTATAGTTCCTATTCATATCAGCTTAAAATATAGCATCTTCCTTCTGTCTTAAAACACGATATAACAACAGAATAGTCAAGCTTTAAATAGGAAAATTTTTCTTTTAAAAAAAATTTGAGTGAGATGCTAATGGTCTAATACGATTCAATGATCTGTGCTAAGACAAACTAAAGTTAAACAGTTAAGTTTGACCATTTTTTAAATCCATTCAGTCGATCTCCGGGTCTAGTGGAGGCACATTTAGCTTAGCTTAGCATATATCATTGAATTGTATTAGACCATTAGCATCTCACTCAATTTTTTAAAGAAAAGTTTAGATAGTTTTCCTATTTAAAGCTTGGTATTTCTATTATTTTATCATGTACTCAGACCAACAGAAAATGAAAAGTTGCTATTTTTTAGGCTGATAGGAACTATACACTCATTCCGGCGTAATAATCAAGGAACTTTGCTGCTGATTCATGACCGTAGCAGGCACAACATTATTACGCAGCACCTGAAAATAGTCCCATCTAAGTAACAAAGTAACTTTGCTGTCATGGTACGGCAGCAAGGTTTCTTGACTAATAAAAATTCCTTTCTTTGGTGATTTTCATCCCTGAATAAGAGTATAGTTCCTATTCATATCAGCTGAAAAAATAGCATTTTCCATCTGTCTTAAAACATGATGTAAAAACAGAATAGTCGCGTTTTAAATTAGAAAATCAAAACTCTTTTTAAAAACAAATTGAGTGAGATGCTAATGGTCTAATCCTATTCAATGATCTGTGCTAAGCTAAGCTAGAGTTAAACAGTTGAGTTTGACTGTTTTTTTTAATCCATTCAGTCAATCTCCGGGTCTGACGGGAGCATTTTTATTTTAGCATAGCATAGATCATTCAATTGAATTAGACCATTCGCATCTCACTCAATTAAAAAAAAAGTTTAGATAGTTTTGCTGTTTAAAGCTTGACACTTCCGTTATTTTATCATTTATTTAGACCAACAGAATATAAAAAGTTACTATTTTCTAGGCTGATATAAATAGGAACTATAATCTCGTTCCTGCATAATAATCGAGAAACTTTACTGCTGATCCACGACCACAGCAGACACAGTAATATTACGCAGCACCTGAAAATAGTCCCATAAAGGTAACAGAGTAACATCGCTGTCATGATACGGCAGCAAAGTCTCTTTAATATGAAAAATTTCGTTATTGTTTGATTTCATCCCAGAATGAGATTATAGTTCCAATTCAAATCAGCATAAAAAATTGCAACTTTCCAATTTTCATCTATATGAATACATGATGTAAGTAAAAAAAATAGTCAAGCTTCAAATAGGAAAATTATCTAAACTCTTTTAAAAAGAATTTGAGTGAGATGCTAATGGTCTAATGTAATTCAGTGATCTGTGCTAAGCTAAGCTAGAGTTAAACAGTTGACTTTGACCATTTTTAAAATCCATTCAGTTGATCTCCAGGTCTGGCGAGAGCATTTTTAGCTTAGCTTAGCTTAGCATAGATCATTGAATCGGATTAGACCATTAGCATCTCACTCATTTTTTTTTTTTTTAAGTTTTAATAATTTTCAAATTTAAAGCTGAACTCTTCTGTTATTTTATCACTTACTCAGACCAACAGAATATAAAAAGTTGCTATTTTCAAGGCTGATATAAACTATAATCCCATTCTGGCGTAATAATCAATAGTCATCAATGATCGTTCCGGCATAATAATCAAGAAACCTTACAGCTGGTCATTAACCGCAGCAGGCACAATAATATTACACAACAACTGAAAATAGTCCCATTAAAGTAACAATGTTACATCGCTGTCATGATACGCGAGCAAAGTTCCTGGATTATTAAAAAATTGTTTGTTGATTTTCATCTCAGAAGGAGTGTATAATTCCTATTCATATCAGCTTAAAATATAGCAACTTTCCAATTTCCATCTGTCTTACTACAGAATAATTTAGCTTTAAATATAGGAAAATTATCTAAACACTTTTTAAAAAAAACGTTTTTAAAAGAGAGATGCTAATGGTCTAATCCGATTCAATGATCTATGCTAAGCTAAGCTAAAAGAGCTCCCGTTAGACTCGGAAATCATGCGAATGGATAAAAAATTGGTAAAATGCAACTATTTTACTTCAGGGGAATCAAAAAGTGTTCCTTTAATGGATAAAGAAACTAGTATCTAGAAAAAAATAAGTACTAGAATCATGGAAATGCTAGTTTTATAAAATAAATGTTAAAAAGACTTGCCTTCTTTGTATATACGACAACGCATGAGTCCGATTTGGCCGTTGCAGCCCAAGCAAGCAACAACTCAGGGAGACAGAGACGCTGAGCTTCACATACTAACTGCATGTTCGATAATTCCCTGTTCATTTACGTGAACCCATGCGACAAGTGATCAAAAAAAAGTGAAGCATGCTGTCGTCTAAACGCACCAAATAGTGAAATACTAAGATACACTGCATCTCATACACATGGCATTCACATGTAATTTTATTTTTTACGTGCTGGTTGTCTGTGCAGGTCTGGTTATGTGATTCAGTGTTTGTGTTTGTGTAAATTTGTCCTTTTAAAAATAATGCGTTGACTTTTTGTTAGGTTTACTCCAAAGAGAACAAGCATTTGTTGTTAAAGTATGTTAATGGAGTCCTTCTTTTGTTTTCGATACTGTATTCGCTCTCATCGGACCAGAAATAATCTAACCAAACGAATTGAACTTCTCGCTGTATTTATTTAGCATCAAATTAAGGTCGTATGTTTTTGAAATGATTTTGTTTTGTGAGTTCTTAATTGCTGTGCATTTTATAAGCAGGTTGATATGGTACAGACTACAAATTGTAGATGCCTACGTTTTTCCAAAAGGTTCAGGAAGTGACTTTATGAAGTTTTTTTGCCTTTTTGTTTCCTCACTGTGCACATATTTTGCTTTCATACCAAATATGTTTGAAACTGATGAGAACAATCAAAGTGAAAGTCAATACAATCAAATGGCTAGTCAGACAGACACACCAAGGCCTCTTTTATTCTGTAGCATCTCGTCTTGAATATGATAAAAAGAGGCGGAAGAAATGCACTGTGGATTTCTATTTTTGGCTGTTGACTGCTGCTCGGTTATTAAAACACTCCCTGTTTGTTCAAGATGTACATCAAATAATTTCCTGTCCTTCTCAAATTAGTCAAATACATTGAATTTACACAGTTACCTTGTTTTTCTTGAATAGAAATGGTTTATCGACTTCATGATTCTTTTTATACTGTATTTTTCCAAGTTGTTTTGTGGTTTGGGAGAGGTCTTCTTTTAGATCTGAGTTTGGCTATTAAATTATTTATTTAATCAGTGTAATTTTGTTTTATATTCTTGTATTCCTTATTTGTAATAACCTCAGATCCGGAGGTTATGCAAGCGGACCAAAGGAAAGTGTAGTCTCACATTGGAATAAATGAATAATGACACGTATAGTAGACATCTAATAGTATCAATATAACAGTTCATATTTTAACCCTCCTATTATCCTTGGGGTCAATTTGACCCCATTCAATGTAAAACGTACATGCATATGTTTTTTTTTTTTGTGCCTCATATTGAATGACTTTTCCTAATTTTTTGAGGAAAACTTGGTAAACAAAATTACATGATATTATTTTTTCAATGCCCTGTACACATTTTGTAACATCGGTGTCCCTTGGGGTCAATTTGACCCCTGGGACATTTAGCTGTATAAAACATAAGAAATAGGAAAACAAATTACACATATTTGTTTTAGGTGATATTAAGGGTCACTATAACATGCCATGCTTTTATAATATGCACTACGTTTTTATATAAGTATAGTAAAAAAATAAATAAATAACACAACCATACCTGTAGTATCGCAAGAATCAGTGACAGTTGACCTAATTCTTGCGAGAACTTTGATGTTTTCCATGTTTTTTGTGAGAGGCGAAAACATAATTCACATGGTTTACAGGGTAGGTGCAAAGCTATAAAAGTTTGCACGTGAAGCTTTGTGTGTATATATATATATATATATATATATATATATATATATATATATATATATATATATATATATATATATATATATATATATATATATATATATATATATATATATATATATATATATATACAGTATATATATATGTATGTGTATATATATATATATATATATATATATATATATATATATATATATATATATATGTTTGTATTTCAGAATGGTTGTTAAGTAGTTAATAGAGACATCAATTACCTGACACTAAACTTTTGGCAAAAAAAATAAATAAATAAATCCTATACTGGAGGTTTTAATTCGCTGGGGTCAAATTGATCCCAGTGGATAAAAGGTGTTAGCAGATTTTAGTGTAACAGGAGGGTTAATGAGGTTATTCACACTTTAGACTGTTTTTCTGTTAGCTTTTCCATTTCCATTCCTTTGATTTCATTGCTGTTTGCACAATTATAAAGATCTTAACAGTTCTGCGTTAAATCTATGAGACTTGGGACCAAGATCCAGATACACTGAAGCAAGTGTACTGTGACTTGAATTTTTTTCTTGACGAAATAATTTTTTGATTTCTTAACCTCTGAAGTTAAAACAGGTATTGTGTTCTCTAAAAATGAAAATTAACCTGTCTGAAAACATGGCATTTTTGTTATATTATGCAAAAAAGGCTTAAAAACATTTCAATATTGAAGAAATGTGAAAAAAAGTTTAAAGTAAAACAAAAAATAGATTTTACTTAACCTTTCAGTCATAAATTCAGAGTAATTATTATTTTTAATGATTTCAGGAAGACTTTAATAATGGCTTTGAATATATGTGATTACTGGTGTGTGCAATTTAAATATATGAATGACAAGAATGGAATGATTATGAAATTCATAATGTCTGTTCAATGTAAAACTTATAAACCAACAATTTGTTTACCTTTTCACAGCTTAATACCATTTATAATTTCCATTTAATTATGTAAACAGCTCAAATGACAAATTTGCATGTGAACCTGATATTTCCCCCTTATGATTTGAGAGTATTTCTAAAGAGAAATTTCTGTGACAATTCAACCTTTAATCTTGTTTAGATTCCTTAAAAAATTAAACGCTCACCTCTAAGGTTAAGTTTAAAGTTATTATTTTCTACCTTCACTGTTCCCTTTTCCGTGTGGGTTTCCTCCGGGTGCTCCAGTTTCCCTCATGCACTATAGGTGAATTGAATAAAATAAAATTAGCCGTAGTGTAGTGTACGTGTGTGTGTGAATGAGTGTGTGGATATTTCCCAGTACTGGGTTGCAGCTGGAACATATGCTGGAATAGTTGGCGGTTTATTCCACTGTGACAACCCCTGATGAATAAAGGGACTGAATGAATGAATGAAGTAGCTAAATGACGCTGTGATGTCATTGCGTAATGATGTCATTACATAACTGCAACTCAAAATTGCATTTTTATGTAATATACAACACATAGACATTTTTTTTACATACACAAACAACATTTTTCTTATTAATAAAAACTGATACTATAAATTGTTTTATATGGGACTCAAATTTATCATATTATTGGACTCAGAAAAAGTGGTTTGAAATATTTGTTGAATTTTTAAAATAATTTAAATTAATTTGAACTCAGTGGATATTATCAATGTACATATAGACAATTTTGAGGGGGGTAAACAATAACAATGGTCCTGTTTTCCGTACACTCTCAGAAATGTAGGTACAGGAGCTGTCACTGCGGCAGTACCTTTTTTTTAAAGATAAATATTTGTACCTGAAGGGTCCATAATAGTACCTCAAAGGTACTTTTTAGGTACATTTGGGTAACATGCACTTTTATATGGGGTTCTATTTGTGCCAAAATTGCCATACCCTCGTTCTGCTTTGTACTTCACATTTGTCTTCGTCTACACTCATTGGCCACATGCTCAGGAAAATCAGCATTGTTGACGTACATGTTGTCTGTTGATGTCGTCTTAATCTGACGTCCTGACATTTTTTCACTGTTTTGTACTCTCATGTTCTATGGAGTATTCTGTCATCTGATCTGTTGTCCTTTTTTGTTGTCTATTCATCTTTACTGTCATCCTTACTGTTGTATATGCTGTCGTTCTTATGGTCGTCTTTTCTGTCATCCTTACCCTCAGCATATGATGATTGCATAGACGATGGTAATGACAGCATAGATGACAGTAAGAATGACAGTATAAACGACAGCATATACAACAGTAAGGATGAAAGAAAAGATGAATAGACAACAATAGGGACAACAGATGACAGAATACCCCATTGAATATGACAGTACAAAACAGAGAAAAACCGACAGGACGACAGATTAAAACGACATCAACAGACAACATGTACGACAACAATGCTGACTTTCCTGAACATGTGGGCAATGACAGTAGACGAAGACAAATGGGAAGTACAAAGCAGAAAACAGGCAAGGGAATTTTGGCACAAATGGAACTCCATGGAATTTTGGCACAAATAAAACCCCATACCACTTGGACTATTTGGCTACAAATATGTATCTTTTAAAATGTTACTGCCCCAGTGACCGCTCCTGTACCTTGTTTTCAGCGAGTGTAGCTCCCGAGAATCCTAAAAGGTCCACATATTGGTAAATAACTTTACGACAGCTGTTTTAACTTTGAGATACGATTGAATTGCGTCTTGTTGCAGTTATTAAAATAGTTTGACAACAATAAGGAAATGTTCAATGGCCAATGGCATACCCACATTGAAATGGTCTATTGGGTAAAAATGCTACTTATTTTACTGTCATCCAATGTGTTTTGTCTATAGTTTTTGCTCATTATTAATCCACTGTCACTTTAATTAGCCAAATAAATGCTACATTTATTGCCAGGTGGTTTTTGAGGAACAAAAATGTTGCTAGAGTACTACGAAAAATGGCTAAATTGGCAACACTGTGTACATAAAATATATATCGTTAGACATGACGAATCATCAGCAATAACAACTCGTATGAATCATCAAACCTGACGAACCAATAGTCGCGCTTCAAAGTTTTGAATAAGCCAATGGGCTTTGAGATGGGCGTTTCCCCGCACAATTCAAGCGTCAGTTGGCTGAAGAATGTAAACGCAGCGTTAGCAATAGTGTGTGCTAATATAATCGCGGATACATTTATTAACAATAACAACATTTATTTAGCTTATTTATTCGGTGGATGTTCGGATAACGCGATGGAAACGGTGACTGATGAAGACGTGACGTCGTCTAAGCTATCTAAGATAGGTAAAGCGCTGTTTTGTTTACACTCAGTTAGGCTAACGTTAGTGCTAAGTTGTATATCATGAACACATTGGTTGATGTTTTATGTTAATTCACTTGTGTTTATTTTTATAATCTTAAGTCATGAAGTGACTTAACGTTACGTGTTAAGATTTTATTTAATATAATCAGTGGAATGTGGTTTAAATGTGTGAATATTAGCGCCCCTGTGTGCGTGTTTGAGTGTATGAGCCGATAGTAACTAACTCTTTAGCATTATCGCTACCTATTGAATTTCACAAATATGGTTTCCCATTTCAGTCAATTTTATTATTATATCGTAACGATCATTTTAAAGTCTCTGCAGTTTCTGAACTTTAATTATGTCAATAAAAATAATTGGTTAAAGACACTTATGACTTTATTCATGTGTCCATATACACAAAGAAAACATAATAGACCGTCTAATTGATGGATTAAGTGTAATAAACTAATTCAAGCTCTTAATATTATCATACTTCGTTAAAATCACGTTGTTGTAAAATATAAAAAGCAAACAATAATGTCACTTTAAAATAATTTAGCCTACTATAGTTAACCATTTAAACAATATAGTTATAAACTGATTATCTTAACTGATTATAATTATAAGTTTATATATAAACTACTATCTTTTACTAAACTGTCACTGTTAAAGCTGTTATATATATATATATATATATATATATATATATATATATATATATATATATATATATATATATATGTGTGTGTGTGTGTGTGTGTGTATACACTTATGATTTTTTTTATTAATAGTTAATATTTTATTAATAGTTTTATTAAGAGTATTAAATGTGGGAAATCATTAATTAAAAGGTTATTGGAAAATTAAGCTAATAAACACCGCTTGAGTAAAATATTAATATAGTGTTATACATTTGTTATATATAAAAATATTTTTATGACATATAATGTATTATTGCCTATCTTAACTTGCTATTATTTCCTTCATCATAAATTAATCCATTATATAAATTAAACCTGTCCAAATGAGATCATTCAGCAAAGCCAGCAAACGAGTATCTGCCATATTATTGTCAGATAATAATGACTGATCAGCTATAATGACTGATTAAAAACTGTTCACTCTATTATATTGAATGGCGATCGGAAACAATGCTCCCCATTCGGCCGTCTCAATCGCAATATTTGTGAAATAAAGTAAAGTAAACACTATTGTTTATTGTGTACAATATTTATTAATCAAATATATCAAAATATATCGATGACGATGTCCAAAAAGACGTTATAACTTTAACATCAGTCATAACCATATATGGTTTGCCTAGATTGTGTGTCCTAGATTGTGTGTGCCTAAAACGTGTGTGGTTCTGCGGGTCTGCAGCTGGATATTATTGTTATAAAGGGATGTTTTGACAATAAAACCCGCTTTTTAAATGTAAAGTGATGTAAAATGAGTGAAACCACAAGTGCTACGATAAGACTTTCCTTTTCTTTATCAATACCAACATTTGAAATGTGTTATTTATATCACTGCATCTTAGGTTCTGTACCTGGTCACCATTTCCGAACGTTTGTAGCCTTTTTACAAATGTTATAACTAGTCATGTTGTCATAAGTGCTGATTTTGTCTCCTTAAATATGAGCTAATTCAAGACGCGTGCAAATTATTGTAAATTAATTCACAATTGTAAAGGTGGAATACAGAAAGTCACATTATTCATGACTGTCAAGATGTAAACTATGCCTTTACCCAATTTATTCATTCGTTTTCCTTCAGCTTAGTCATTTTATTTATCAGGGGTCGCCACAGCGGAATGAACCGCCAACTTATCCAGCATATGTTTTACACAGTGGATGACCTTCCTGCTGCAATTCAGTACTGGGAAACATCCATACACACTCATTCACACACACACTATGGCCAATTTAGTTTATTCAATTCACCTGCGCATGTGTTTGGACTGTGTGGCAAACCGGAGCACCTGGAGGAAACCAACACAGGGAGAACATGTAAACCCCACTCAGCCTTAACCTAATTTTAGGACATAATCCAAATGGCTTGTGGGTAGACTAAGCAATATATGAATAAACTTTTAAAACGACATCATTATATCATGCAACAATAACAGACTTGTTACATTATCTGGTATAATATACTGGCAATCAATTAAATAAATATAAATAATAGTGCTGTACAATAAATTGTTTCAGCATCGGTATAGTCACAATGCAAAATTTGCAACATTGAGTCTAAATTTTAGTCGACCAGGAGCCACAGAACACATGGTTTGTAGAGTCGCTTAAGGTCTGTGACTGTACAAGCATTTCACAAAATATTATGTTTATGATGAAAAGATTAATTGTATTTAATTATTTATACAGAATTTTAAATGATTTCTGCAACAAAGTTTTTCTTTCTTTGATTTTTTGTCTGTTTATGGTCCAAATATCTACATTTAAAACTTTTAATTTTAACTTTATTAAATTTAATTATTTAATTTTTACTGAACTGAAATTGGCTGAATACTTGACAGCAAAAGGAAGACTCTGTCAGCCCATCTCTCCATCCATCTGTTATTACATCAATCTATTATTGTTTCATCCATCCATCCACCTATCTAACCATCCATCTATCCATCCATCTATGTCCATCTATCTTGCTATCTATCTGTTATTACATAATTCATCCTTGATTATGTTTTCCATCTTTCCATCCATCCATCCATCCATATATATCTGTTTTAATTCAATTTCTGTGTCTGAATACTGTTAGACTCCACAGAAAGCTGTCAAATAGAGCTATTTAAATCACATTGTGAAAATTTATCGCAGAAAAACAAAATATAGCAATATCAGATTTTTCCAATATCGTGTGGCATTAATACATGTGGAAGAAATGCTCAAAACACAAAACTACAACATCTGTAAAGGTTTTAAAATGCAATTTTTGGTATTTGTTTTTGTATTTACATTTATTATTATTTTTTTATATCCAGAGCTTCGCAAATTGAAATTGGCTGAATACTTGGCAGCAAAAGGAAGACTGAAAGTACCTAATCCGAAGTAAGTGGTCTAAAGGTTATTTCAGAGTGTAACAGTTTTTAATGTGTATTTATTTATTTATTTATTTATTTTACATTTTAAAGAAATTCAAGTCTTAATTTCAGTATTTAAACCTACCAGATTTTTTTGTACTTATGTTCTGAATGTGTTTTTCTTCCCGAAGACCTTATCTGAAAGGGAAACCTGTTACAAATAAGCCTGCTGTAAATAATCAGAAGATTAAAATCGTAAGTTGGGAAAAATTCCTTGATGTTTTGTGCTATTTTTTTATGTTAAAACAGTAGATTGTTGAACTGACATGTCTCTGTTTCTGTCAGACTGGCAATGAAAAGGAGAATTGTGGCATCAGTGGTGCAAATGCAAAAGAAGTGAAGAGAGTGAAGACACTGTCTGGGGTTGATGAAAACACATCTTTAAAAAAAGGCCTGAACATCCATTCATTAGCCAAAGCCCCGGTGCAGTTTTCCAGTAAACTCTGTAATACTCAACAGGCCAACTTTAATGCTTTGAGGACAAAAAACAATGGAACAGCTTCTCTTCAAAATCCCAAGCTACTGCACAAAGCTGAGAAAACTTGCACAACAAGGACTCATCCACAATTCCTTCAAAATGCCCAAAATAAAGCTCAGCCAGCTTCCCATGTTGCAAATAAGTCTCAGAAATCAAGTCTGGTTTCAATCTGTGGCCCTTCACACTCTGTATATATAAAATCTTCCCTTAAATGCACTGATCCAACATATAATTCAAAGACAGAGCTCAAGTCAGCAAAGATTTTAAGTAAGAAATTAACAGAATTGAACATCAAGACAACCACAACTGCCACTCTGAAGAGCCGGGGACCGCTCAACACTACTGGGACAAAATTTCAGACAAAAAATATTTCTAAAACCCAAGAAAAACCAACACTGCAACCCAAATGCCAAAGTGGTGTACCAAAGTATGGCACCCTTAGCAGAAATCCTGCACTCATTACCTGGAAGTCAAACTCCGCAACAAACAGATCAGATATAAACCAGAGGAAGGATGTTTCGTGCATGATCACGAAAGCCACAAAAATTCAATCACATAACCCTGTCACAAACAGAGAAACAAAAACTAGTGTATCTAACGTCCAGGCAAAACCAGCACAGCGACCTAGAAGTCAAAGTGTTGTACCAGTTGGTACACTCAACGTCAATTCTCAGCGCATTAATCAGAAACCAAATTCAGCTACAAACAGATCAGACGTTTATCAAAGAAAGGATATTTCGTGCATCACCATGAAAGTTGATGGCAAAAAAGCAATTGTGTCTTCTATAGCTGCAAACCTCAAAGGATCAGCAACCATCACAACTAAACAGCATGCTACTCTTAAAGCAAGTAATGCCGCTGCTTCTACCAAACTACATAGTCGAAACACGAGGAGTTGTGTACTGCCGCAAACTACATCTGAACACAAAGAGCTCCAGCAGCCTGTTATGAGATCCAACCACACCAAGCCTACGGTCCAGTTTCAGACCCCTAAATCCAGTATCTGTCCCAGTTCTACTCAGGGTGTCCGAACAGCCCCGGCAGATGGAAAGAAAAGGCTGACCGAAGCTCAGGAGGAAAGACTGTGAGTTTACTTCATTTGTTTTTTGGAAGCGTGCTTTTCAGCTATGTCCCTCAAGCATCAATCTTCCTCAAATTTCATGCACATTTGGGCTCCACGATAATAGGAAAAATAAGCAATATTATTGTTGATTGTTGTGATGATATTTCTTATAACGTATCTCCCTAGAAAAAATGATATTTTTATTAGGCATGTTTTGAAATAATTTATTTATTTAATAGTATTAAAATAAACAGTATTTTTTCAGAGCTACTTACAGGTGCAGTAGAAGGTGATTGTCTTCAGAAACATGTTTTTGTTGTGCTGGTTGAAAGTCAGTTCAATAGTAATGATTAAAGTAAATGATCTAAATGTGTTTACTAAATGTGTTTATATGTTTTTTTTATATTCTGGGTAAGGCATAAAACTAAAGGTTTTTAGCCATTAACATTATTGATGTCTGCAGGCGTAAACTCCAGGAGTGGCGCGAGTCAAGGGGCATCACATATAAACGTCCCCCCATGCCTGTTCGGCTGGTGAGGAGGAAGACAGTCTCAGCTATACCTCAGCCATACTGGACATCAATGGAAAATGAAGATGAAGGTCAAGACATTGTCTTCGCTGTGGAACGATCATTAGATGACTGCATTCAATTATTACAACAGGTATTTACCTTTTTTAGGAAACTGTGCATCACTGTGATGCAATAAAGCATGTTCTTCAATGGAAATCTGATTCTCTTCACAGCCAAATCCGACTGGCACTAATTCACATACCAAGATGTCTGTATTTGACATACTTGTTCTGACTGGTAGACGGTGTGTCAGCATTTCACATTTTTGTTTTCTTACTACTGACAAATTATGAAACCTCTGCTCGGGTTAAGACATAACGTAAATTTAGTTGTGACAAACATTTTGACATTTGTTTAGTTGAGTTAATTTTCTCATGTGAGAACATGCAGGTGTTTGTGATTAAGAGCTGGACTGAGGTCCAAATCCGGTGAGTGGTTGCATATAAAAAAAAAAATAGAAACTAAAAAGGGAAAGTGGAAAAATTTGGCCAAGTACTTTGACCCATACTCTGATTTATTATTATTATTATTATTATTATTTGCTCTGCGTTTAACCTATTCAAGTGCGCACACACACGCCCAAAACAGTGAAAACTGGGTTTCTGCAGGTCTTAAAGGGATATTTCACCCCAAAATTGTTATTTGCTTGCTCATACGTGATCTGTTGAACACAAAAGAAAAAAAAGAAAACCTGTAACCATTGACTTGCTTTGTAGGAAATACAAATACTCTGTAAATCTGTCTATGAAATGTATATTAAATTACAATTTAAAAGGACAATTAACAGAAAATTATATTTAAATGTGTTTTTTTTTTTAATTGTTTTTAAATGTCATGTAATAAAGCAATAAAACATTTAAAAAAAACTTTTATATGTATAAATAAACACACAACTTTAGAACTGTTTATTAGGGATGCTCTGATCAGGATTTTTGTAGCTGATTCCTTGTTATGGTGATCAGCCGATACTAAGTATCGATTCTGATTCTTTAAGCTTAAAATAACTTTGGCATTGCAGAAGCACACTTTACCTTTAAGTATGAGATCTCGCCTTACCTAAGATAATACATTAAGGATGTAGCATTCATGTAATGGTCAGAAACGGCTTTAAAAAAAAAAAAAGTTGCAGACATTGATGAGCTCTGATCTGATCAATTATAACAATCAAAAAAATTCTGAAATGTGTATTATGAGACAAAAAAAGATTTTGGCTGCATGTAAACCTTTTGTAGAAGACCTCCAAAGCAAGGCATGTCATATTGCATAATAAGGGCACTTTAATACATACAAAATGAAGGTTATTTAGGATGATGTTTTCCTCTGGGTGTTCAGGAAACGCATCCAAACTTTTTCCAATGTTTTAATTTTTCTTCAATTGACAGGGTTTCCCAGTAGAGCAGGTCCGAGATGTGATGTCTCGGGTGCCGATGGCGCAGAAGTTTGCTAAATACTGGATCTGCCAGGCAAGGCTGATGGAAAGAGAAGGAAACCTGGAGGTCTTGTCTTTGTTTGAGGAAGCCATCCGTGTAGTGCGGGAGGTCAGTCTCTTTATCTTTTACACACACACACACACACACACACACACACACACACACACACACACACACACACACATACTTGTTGAACTAATGTGTTTTCATTTGCTTGTGAATTGTATTCTGGTAATCTGAGAATCCTCAAAAGAATTTTACACTTGGGCTTTTTGTGAAAGAACATGCCATGTAATTATTTCCAGATGTTTTTTAGTCAACTTACGAAAAAAGGAAGTTGCAGTTATCCATATGTATGTGCAGATAAATGAGATGTTTCTGAACTTCCGGATAACAGACTTGTTTTCTTTTGATTTGATTTTTATTTCCAGCCTGTGGACGAGCTGCGCGCTGTGATATTTGAGATCCTTAAAAAGAAACAGAGTCAGGGTAAGCGGATGAGTAACCTGTCATTTCTCAATCACTTTCAGCTAGAAAGTATTAAATTATGAATTTCCTGTGATTCAAAAATACTTTCAACAGCATCATTTCTCCAGGCTTCAGTGTCGCATAATTCTTCAGAAATAATGTGAACATGCTGATTTGCAGCCAGTAAATGGGGTTCCCCAGGTCGTGGAACTTTCTGGAATGATACGTGGAAATGGTCTAACATAGCCGTTTAATGTCAGGCAATTTGGTAACACTTTATTTTAATGGTCTATTTGAGTATTAGTAGACTGTCTGCTTAATATCTGTTGATACTGCTCCTTTAAAAGACGTTTAACTGACTATAAGAAACGTAGCAAGTACATGTCAACTTACACTAACTCTAACCACAACCCAACAGTCTACTTGTAATCTAATGAGAACTAGTTGAAATGTTGCTTAAATTCAACAAATGGACTATTTAAATAAAGTGATCGGCAATTTTATTTTGGATTTGGCTCGAGGGATGGCATATCAAGGATTTATTTATTTATTTTTCGTAATCGTTATGTTTTACTTACTTCCCGTATATTAAAATGTGATTTTTTTTTCTGTACAGTGTTTAATTTTTTGTCATGTTGTCATCATTTCTTCATCTTTACACTCAGGTCAATCTCCTGTGTCAAAAGAGTCTGAAGAGGCAGAGACCACAGTGGATGATGAACATGAAGACGGTGACCTCATGTGCACTCCGAAACCTGTTGGTGCCCTTATATGTGGAATGAGGGGAGACTCGTCTGTTGTCAAATATAAAATTACAGCCACTCCGGGGTACGACACTCACACATCTCTCACAGTCTAATCTGAGCTTAAATATATTGAAAATTGTTTTTGGACTACTTTTTAATTATTGCTATTTTTTACATAGAAAATAATTGTAAACTATAGCTTAAATGAAATGCAATCATTCAGAGGCTAAAATCAGTGTAGATTTAGTTCTTGCATAAATGGTACAATTTAAACTAATATGGAAGAGGATAGGAGGATAATTGTGAAGCTGAATTTTAAGTCCTTGGCTGAAGACACTAAAGAGAACTAAAGTCTGTACAATTGTGGCTTTTAGTTTTCCAATGTTACTAGCCACTCTGCATTTTCGCTAGCCACAACTTTGTTGTTGGGAAAATATATTTCATATGCATAAATTTGACTGACATTAATTGATTTAGATTTTGTTTTGTCCACATGCCTCATTCATTTCACTTTTTGTGTGTCGTGTTTGAGCTTGCTCAATAAGCATGAGGAATTGGGTCATGGTTTCATAGTGTCGTATTAGTTTTTATTTAACATGACTTCTCAGAGCTCAAAATTAAGCATTTACCATATTCATCTCTGACCACACTATGAATAAATAATTATTTCTTAGCCACAGATTTTAAATGTGTAAAAACAAGCAAAATACTGCTGTATACTATACTTTTCATTTAACAAAAGATTTCTTTAAAAAAATGTACATTTATAAAAAATTATTGTCATGTATTTAAAATTATGTACAGTAAACTGACCTGGCTAAAGGTTCCATCACTAGTTAACTACACATACAGTGCATCCGGAAAGTATTTATAGCGCTTCACTTTTTCCACATTCTTTGTTACAGCCTTATTTCACGATGTGAAAAAAGATTTTTTGAAATTGTTGCATATTTATTATAAATAAAAAAAACCTGAAAAATCACCTGTACATAAGTATTTACAGCCTTTGCTGTGATGCTCAAAATTGAGCTCAGGTACATTCTATATCCACTGATCATTCTTAAGATGTTTTAGCAGCTTAATTGGAGGTCACCTGTGGTAAATTCAGTTGATTGGACATGATTTAAATAGGCATACACCTGTCTATATAAGGTCCTAGGGTTGACAGTGCATTTCAAAGCACAAACCAAGTATGAAGACAAAGGAATTATGTTCAGACATGCGAGACAGGGGAAAGGTTACAGAAAAATTTCTGCTGCTCTGAAAGTTCCAATAAGTGCAGTGGCCTCCATTATCTGAAAATTAAAGATATTTGGAACCACCAGGACCTCTCCTCGAGCTGGCCGACCATATAAGCAGAGTGATCGAGGTTGAAGGACCTTAGTTAGGGAGGTGATCAATAACCCGATGGTCACTCTGTCTGAGCTCCAGCGTTCTTCTGTGGAAAGAGGAGAACTTCACAGAAGGACAACCATCTGTGCAGCAATCCTCCAATCAGGCCTGTATGGTAGAGTGGCTGGACGTAAGCCACTTCCCGTCTGGATTTTGCCAAAAGGCAAAAGTCTGAAGGACTCTTAGACCATAAGAAACAAAATTCTCTGGTCTGATGAGACTAAAATTGAATTAATTGGAGTGAATGCCAGGCTTTACATTTGGAGAAAACCAGGCACCGCTCATCACCAGGCTAATACCATCCATACAGTGAAGCGTGGTGGTGGCAGCATCATGCTGTGAGGATGTTTATCAGCAGAAGGCACTGGAAGACTAGTCAGGATAGAGGGAATGATGAATGCAACAATGTACAGAGACATCCTGAAGGAAAACCTGCTTCAGAGTGCTCATGACCTCAGACTGGGAGGACGGTTCATCTTCCAGCAGGACAATGACCCAAAGCACACCCCAAAATGTCAATGAAGTGGCTTCACAACAACTCTGTGAATGTCCTTGAGTGGCCCAGCAAGAGCCCAGACTGAAATCCTATTGAACATCTCTGCAGAGATTTGAAAATGGCTGTACACCGGCACTTCCCATCCAACCTGATAGAGCTTGAGAGGTACTGCAAAGAGGAATGGGCAAAAATTCCCAAAGACAGGTGTGCCAAGCTTGCATCATATTCAGAAAGATTTGAGGCTGTAATTGCTGCCAAAGGTGCATCACAAAGTATTGAGCTAAGGCTGTAAATACTGATGTACATGTGATTTTTCAGTTGTTTTTTTTTATAAATTTGCAACAATTTCAAAAATTCTTTTTTCACATTGTGATTATGGGCTATTATTGTGTGTAGAATTTTGAGGAAATAAATTCATTAAATCCATTTTTGAATAAGGCTGTAACAAAAAAATGTGGAAAAAGGTCAGTTAGCGCAAGTGATCATCCTCATGGCAGCTCAGCCATGATGATTGTTAGATACTGTAATTGAAGTAAGATCTTCCATGTTTTAGGGGGAAAAGAAGTCAGCAGGGAGCAGAACCAGGACAAGTAGACGGTCACGAAATCCGCTTCTTTACCCCAGTGAGACGTTCAGTGCGGATTGAGAAAACTGCTCGGCGTTACCCAACAGCCTTGCAGGAGCACGACCCCTGCGTTACCTCTATGTGTGACCTTGCAGGTGAGAGTAAGGAAGAGGTCAAAGATGACTCACAACCTCAAAGCTCTCCATTGTATGTGTACCGGGAGAATGAAGCACTGAGAGACTGTGTCCAGGTTAAACTTGTTTATCCAGAGGAGGTTGAATCATGATAACAGCCGTTATCATGTTTTAATCTTGATTTCCCAACAGGAAGCAATCAATTGTTTGTTGTTGTTATACACGGATTGTGCTACACGTGTTTTGTACTATGATGACATTCAGCCAAGATCATATATTGCTTAATAGGTTTTAGCCTGAAGTTCAGACTTGACTTTCTCTATGCTGGTGCAATGCTTCCTAACTGGTATATAGTTTCAATGCACGGTTAGTTCATGACAAGGTTAGTTCATGCCAAAATTAGATTTGGTTGGGGTTTACTCAAACTCAAATGTTGTTCAAAAACATTAAGACTGTTGTTTATCTTAAAAAATACTTCATTTGTGTTCCAAAGATGGAACAAAGGCAAGTACATGCTTTGTGTTATAGGGTAAATAACCTATTAAGCACTGCTGTGTATATATATAAATGAAAGAAAGAGATGTCAGTGTTTGATATCAAAATTTGAAGGTGCCCATTCTGCAGAGTTCAACGACAAAGAAGTTAATTGTTCACTTAATCAGAGGCTTGATTCATCTAACTTATTCTTTTGATTGCCATTATAATTTATTGACCATCAAAAGTCTTATGTCTGTCAGATCAAAAGCAAGCATGAATAGTCCTTGGTGTATGAACAAATGCGCATAATTAAACTCATTGATGCAATTATTTTTCAGCATTTTTAATAAAAGCATTTTAAATTTTTGATTCAATTGCTTTTAGAGTATTCTAGAAATTCTGTAGTATTTTAGACATCCTGAGCAAACAAAATCTCAGAAATTAATCAAAGATCTGTTGGATAACATTACTTAAAATTTGCGAGAGGAGCACGTGGTATGATTGATCGCCGCTAGTCTTCCATCCTTAATCAGTAGCAAGCCAATTGGATTGATCCATATTTACGATAAATATCCCATTCAGCATTACTCCCTTATTTTCTTTTTGAAGAATCCCCCCATCCACCCCTTTCCTACTTTACCGGGAGGAGTTCTAGAGAACTACCTGATCTCTTTCCACCTTACATGCTTATCGATAAGGCGAGAGTCTTGGGCTTAATTCTCTCTGAGGTCAGGGTTCTCTCCCGTGACTGCATGCCAAACCTGCTAATATTATCAAGCAGTATCTAAGTGCAAACTCTTGAATTTCCCAGTGTTGTTGGATATGATATGACGTTTTGTGCAAGTTTTTTTTTTTTATTGTTAAATTCTAAAATTAGATTTAAAAAAAAAATGGTTGCTGTCGATTAGCGACAACAAATTGTGAGTTCTTCAAGGGACAGTTCATGCAAGAATTGTCAATTTACTCACCTTTGAACTGTTCTAAACACAAAAGGAGACGTACTAAAGAGTGTGCATGTGACCACTGACATCCATAAAACAAATCTCATACGATGGAAGTCAGTAGTTAGAGGTTTCTAACATTATTCAATGTATTTCTTTTTTGTGTTCATCAAAACTCAAACTCCTTTAAAACAAGTCAAGAGTAAAGGATGATTAATTAGTTTGACCATAAAAAGGAAAGTAAATTTTGGGTGTCTGAAATTCAATCTAAAACTCGGCATTTTAACACCATGCTATAGATGCCCTTTTTGTTTACAAGCTATAAAAAAAAAAGATATATATATATACATACATACATACATACATACAGTTGAAGTCAGAATTATTAGCCCCCCCTTTCATTTTTTATTTTAATTTTTTTTATTATTTCCTAAATGATGTTTAATAGAGCAAGGAAAGTCTTATTTTTTTTTATTTTGGCTAAAATAAAAGAAGTTTTTAAAAAAAAAAATTAAAACCATTTTAGGGACAAAATTAGTAGCCCCTTTAAGCAATTTTTTTTCGATTAGTCTACAGAACAAACCATCATTATATAATAACTTGCTTAATTACCCTAACCTGCCTAGTTAACCTAATTAACCTAGTTAAGCCTTTAAATGTCACTTTAAGCTGTATAGAAGTGTCTTAAAAATACCTAGTCAAATATTATTTACTGTCATCATGGCAAAGATAAAATAAATCAGTTATTAGAGATGAGTTTCTAAAACTATTATATTTAGAAATGTGTTGAAAAAAATCTGCTCTCCATTAAACAGAAATTGAGGAAAAGATTAAACGGGGGTGAATAATCCAGGGGGGCTAATAATTATGACTTCAACCGTGTGTGTGTGTGTGTGTGTGTGTGTGTGTGTGTGTGTGTGTGTGTGTGTGTGTGTGTGTGTGTGTGTGTGTGTGTGGTGTGTGGTGTGTGTGTGTGTGTGTGTGTGTGTGTGTGTGTGTGTGTGTGTGTGTTCTGTTGAAGTAGATTTGCTCACTGGATATTTTCTCTTTTTAGGACCATTCTCTGTAAACCCTAAAGATGGTTGTGTGTAAGAATCCCAGTAGACCAACAATCGTGCCATGTTCAAAGTCACTTAAATCACCTTTCTTCCCCATTCTGATGCTCGGTTGGAACTGCAGCAAGATTAAGGCAGTTCTGAAGGCATAAGGAATCCAACCTGGTACTAGTGAGGTGTACTTAATAAAGTGGCCTGTGAGTCTAGGTAATCTAATTTGGTGCACTTGAACAAAACAGATTTATTAAACGGGTATATTTATTAAAATAATATTATATTCACTGAATATGTGTAGAAGTAGAAAGATGAAATATTTAAATTCTGCAAACTACACCATTTCAACAAAATGGTATATATTTTTTGTTTCTCTTGATTTTTGCTCTCATTTTTACTTAATATTTTTTTCCCAAAATACTGTTATTTCAAGGTATTTGGTTAGATTAGCTCCAGACTAGACCATCTAATAATGTGTATGCACAAATATAACGTTGAAGCATCCCATAGACAATATGAATTCAATTATTAGTCATAAATACTGATATCTGTTTCTTCCAGTGCATTAGAAATAAAAGTTGCAATAATAAGAAAGAGTCATGACACATTCAGCTTTGCTATGCACATTTTTATTTACAGGCAGGAATGTGCAGTAGGGTAAAGGTGTAAGAAGGTGTCAGGGAGGGACGGTGATGCGCTTCAGGACCAGCAGAAGTTGGGATTGTGCTTATTGACGCGCAAGTGTTTGAGTTTGGGATCATTTCTGTAGCGTTTCCGCAGGAGATCCCTTTCATTTCGCTCCTCCTCCTTTCGCAGTTTCTTTTCCTGCTTTTTCTTCACCTTCTCCTCCATCAAGCTGAACAGAACCAGCGGGTTGTACGTCTTTGGCTTCTTCTTCTTGATTTCAGTGTTCACAGGAGGTCCAGCGCAGAACGCCTGAATCGGGAGCTCCTCAGACGCCTCATGACAAGACACCTCATTAAGTGGGTTTTGTATGACCTGCGAGGCTCCCTTTTCTCCATGTTTCTGGACCTCCGTCACTTCCTCCTGCTCCAACCAGGCCTCCATCCGTCTCGGTTTTGTTTCAGACTCATAGAAAGCTTCTATGTTTTCCTCCGTGTACTCCATGAATTCAAGCTCCTCATCCTCAAAGTCATAGAGCTTGAGGCCTGAGCAAGGAGATAACTCGGATGCTTGAGGCTTCACAAGAGACACAACCTCGTCAAATGCAAAGATTGGAGGAATCGGCAGTGTTTCAGGAGGACTCTGGAGGAAGGACAGTTCACTGAATGAAGGAATCGAGCACAGAGAAGCCACCTCAGAAGAGCTCTGGAGGGGAAGAAGGACTGGTTCTGGAGAGACACATGGAGCCACTTGGATGACTGAGCTTGGCAGCAGGTGCTCAGCTTCCTCAGCAGGGGTTTGAGGACTTGAGGCTTTGAGGCAAGAGGCTGGGAGAACGAGAACTTCAGGATGTTCAGGTAGATCTCCAACAGGTGCTAAGGTGGAGAAACAGGCTGAAGCTGGCAGAGGTTTGACCTCAACAAGATGAGGAAGTGACTCTTTGTTTTTCAGCAGAGGTTTGAGGCGAGCAGCAGGGAGAGCGAGGACATCTGAATGTTCAGGTTGATCTCCAACTGGAGGTAACGAGGAGAAACAGGCTGAAGCTGGCAGAGGTTTGACCTCTATGGGTAGAGGAAGAGTCTTGTTGTTTTTCAGGTTTCTCCTCTGTCCTTCAGGTTCTCCTTTTCCTCCTGTTGGAAAAAAGGAATATATTTCTTATTATTTTTCTCTTTTTTTTTCTTTTTTTTTTTATCAAATAATTATTTGTATTGGTGATTCAATATTCCAACACTCCCTCCACCAGCTTTTCTGAACTCTGCACCTCTCTTTTCTTGGCAGACAGGTACTCACCTTCTCTCTCAGTGATCTGTATGTTTTTAAGGCTGAGAGCTTGTTTTTCTTGTTTAGCCTTGTCTTTCAGACCCTCTCCCTCTTTCCTTGGTCTCTGTCCATGATGGGACTTCACCTTGCGGTGTTTCTTTGTGGACTTGGACTTGATTTCTCCTGCCACTGCACTTATCTCTGCTTTTTGAGGGCTCAGCCTTCTGCCCCAGAGAGGTGTAAAACCTGCAGACAGCGGCCAAAATCCCCTTCTAAACAGTGACATTTTGAACAGTCAATGCTGTAACTGAATTCAAAAGTAGTCGTCAAAAAACGCTGAAAGACACGAAAGTAGCTCTGAATCAGTTCACTCCTAAACACACCAACAGCAGTTTAGAACAGCAGTTCAGAGTTCTAATCATGATGTCATGGAGAAGAGCTCAGCTGAGGAGTCATTTTGAATGAAAACAGTTGAAATGAGACATTTTTAATGTAATTCGTCCATCCACCCTTTTTACATGAATCATGGATGTGTAACATGTTAAACTTAAAAAATTATATATACACACAAGCCCACACCCACACATATTTATTTATATAAATATATATATACACACACACATACACGCACATACAGTTGGAGTCAGAATTATTAGACCCCCTATTAATTTTTTTCTCAGTTTCTGTTCAATGAGTTTTAATAACTCATTTCTAATAACTGATTTATTTTCTCTTTGCCATGATGACAGTAAATAATATTTGACTAGATATTTTTCAAGACACTTCTATACAGTTTAAAACGACATTTAAAGGCTACACTAGGTTAATTAGGTTAACTAGGTAGGTTAGGGTAAGTAGGCAAGTTAATGTCGAACGATGGTTTGTTCTGTAGACTATCAAAAAAAAAACTTAAAGGGGCTAATAATTTTGACCATTAAATGGTTCATAAGAAATTAAAAACTGCTTTTATTCTAGCCAAAATAGGGGCTAGTAATTCTGACATCAACTGTGTGTGTGTCCGTGTTTTGTGTGTGTGTTGTTTTTAAACCTAGTTAAGCCTTTAAATGTCACTTTAAGCTGTATTGAAGCTGTCTTATGTTTAGAAATGTTTTGAAAAAATCTCTCCGTTAAACAGTATTTGGGGAAAACAATAAACAGGGGGGGGGGGGGGGGGATAATTCAGGGGGGCTAATAATTCTGACTTTAACTGTAGAATAAAATAAATTTATATTATACAATAATGCAAAACATGAATCTGCAGTAGTGGGACTTTGGAGTAGTCTGCCTATGCATGTTAGAAAGGCCCAAACACTTTCTGCTTTCAAGTTTTAGTCTGTGTGAGATCTATTATTTTATCATATTTTATTCACCTTTTTATACCATCGTATTCAATTTCAGAATTTTTAAAATTATAATTATTTTGATTTTATTGCACTCATAGCTGTACAGCATTCGGTGAAAACCTGTTGTTCCCAAAAATGTGCTTTATAAATAAACTAATGTTATCTATAATATAATAAAACAAACTACAAAATATTAAATAATCACATTACATCAAACTAAAATATGGTACACCCACCGGCCACTTTATTAGGCACACCTGTCCATCTGCTCGTTAATGCAAATTTCTAATCAGCCAATCACATGGCAGCAGTTCAATGCATTCAGGCATGTTGACAGGGTCAAGACGATCTGCTGCAGTTCAAACCGAGCATCAGAATGGGAAAAAAAAAGTCATTTAATTGACTTTGAATGTGCCATGGTTGTTAGTCTGGCCATACTATAGTACAAATGTGCAGTGAAGTTTGAGAATCCTGCTTGTCGTGCTGTGTAGTGGAGTCTGAATACTCATTCATTTCCTATGGCGGTCACTCTTGACTGGGAACACCACAAGTGTATCAAGTATGATTAAAACACTCAATTTAATGAAAGAGGCTATCATCACCTTTATATGGGCCCTATCATACACCCGGCGCAATGTGGCGCAAGGCGCGTTGCAATAGTCTTTTGCTACTTTCAGCTTGGTGCACGGGTCATTTTGAGGTGTTGCGCCATGCTGTTTAAATAGCAAATGCATTTGCGCTCAAATGAGCGCCCATAGGCGTTCTGGTCTAAAAAAGCAGGTGTGTTTTGGCGTGTTGCTGTTTTGAGAAACTGTAAATAGTCTGATCTTTAGACTAGAACAAAGTCTGTCTATTGTCTGGCGCAAAGTGCGCCTGGCTTACACAATACACACAAGTTGTAGAGCAATACGCAAATAACTTTACGTATGAAAAAGATATAATATATTAAGGATATATATATAATAAGGATATATATATATATATATATATAGGATATAAATATAAATGATTAAAATATTACAAAACATATTATTTCTAGGCTACATGAATTTAAAAATCACTGCCTTCATACTTTCTTCATCTCAGGAGGCTTTTTCAGTTCATTCAATTTGCTTTTGTATAATGTTATTATTATTAGCAGTATTATTTATTATATACATATTTTTATTTGTTTTATTAAAAACAAGCTTAGATTTGTCCGCCTGTGAGGTTTTAGACCATATGGGGCACAGCAGGTGTATTTGGAAAAACTCAGTATTTTGACCACACTTGGTTATTATTGTTCATTTATTATTTTGCTGGAAATTAGAACTGAATTTAGAAATAGTTTTGAAACAAATCTTTGCGCTTAACAAACTAAATTAATTATTTATGGGCTAATTGATGCCTGTGCGGTAAGGTTTCCCTATCCACGAGAGCAAAAGCGAGAGTGAACTTATTTTACGTCATGTAAATAGCGAATGCGCTTATGGCGCGACGCAGCTGGCTCTTAAAGGGAATGGGAGATGACACTCTGATTGGTTTATTCTCAAAACACACCTATAACTCATTAAGAAAATAAACTCAACCCTTTTAGACCATGCACCACAGCGCAAAGCAGATTTTCCCGTCCTTAAATTAGCAAAAATGCGTTCTGACACGCCCTGAAAGCGTTTGCGCCCTGCGTTTTGCGTTCTGTGCATGGACCGTCAAAAAAGAGCCCTATATGTTCAAGTGCATAGTGTGGAGGATATAATAAGGCATTGAGGCAATTAGATGTAAAACAATATTTATAAGTGTTCAAAGTTCGACAGGAAGGTTAAAGGATACTTAAAAAAATGAGTGGCACATATTGCAAAATGATAGATTTACATAACAAGATAAGACAAATTTTTTCACACATGTTCTGGCTGATAAAACAGATGATTACTTTTACCTGAGGTTGAGCTGAGCTGACGGAGCTGGCTGTTTACAAATCAAAACACAGATTACACAAACATCTTTGCTTCTGCTACAACATTTGAGCTTTCATTTACCATATGTAATATGTAGTTGTGGGAACACAAAACAATGCAAAAATGTAAAAACGAGTATAAATAAAATTGGTATCATTTTTTCCCTTCATGTCATCAGATATTTATGACTGCAAACATGTGCTGTATTTTTTTAAAGATCAAGCTAAACTCAATCAATGGCACTCATGGCTTAAGAAAAAAACTACAACCTAGGCTACCCGAAGCTTAACATTGTATATAAACATGTTTCTTTTTGCATTATTATTAAAACCATGCAGAAAAGTTTAGAGAGCATTGTTTCACTCCAACATGACAGATACTTGATGCTGGAAAAATTCTAATGTGCGTGTGTTTATATTTGCATATACACAAGCACACACACATCTTTGGTTCTACTGCAACAACAATGTTTGAGCTTCCGTTTATCATATTTAATATGCGGAATTTGGAACAAAATACAATACCAAAATGTGAATACTTTTCAAGTTTAAATATAGCTGGTAAAAAGTATTTTTTTCCCCCTTCTTCAGATATAACATGTTCTGTATTTTTTATTTTGCTAAAGATCAAGCTAAACTCAATCAATGGCATTCGTGGCATTAAAAAAACAACAACCGTGGCTACCTGAAGCTTAAAATTGTATACACGCATGTTTCTTTTTGCATTGTTATTAAAACTATGCACTTTTGCCTGAGGTTGAGTTGAGCTGGCAGAGCTGGCTTTTTACAAATCAAAACATATTGCACAAACATCTTTGCTTCTGCTACAACCACAGTGTTAGAGCTTCCGTTTACCATGTGCAGATGTTGGAAGAAAAAACAATGCCAAAATGTAAATACTTTGAGTATAAATCAAATTGGTAAAAAGAAGGTATAACATAACCTCTGGCATTATTTGTGATCGCAAACATGTCCTGTATTTTTTATTTAAGCTAAACGTAATCAATGGCACTCGTTGCATAAGAAAAAAACAACAACCTAGGCTCCCCGAAGCTTAAAATTGTATACAAACATTTTTCTTTTTGCATTATTAAATTTATGCAGAAAGGTTTAGTGAGTATTGTTTCACTCTAAAATTTTAATCTGTGTTCTGCTAAATAATTGGTAGCACTTTCTTTTGATGGTCCATTTGAGTATTAGTTGACTGTCTGCTAAAATATCTGTTGATATGCTCCTTCAACAGACATTTAACTGACAATAAAAAAAACTTTGCAAATACATGTCAACTTACACTAACCCTAACCCCAACCTAGTATTCTACTCATAATCTAATAAGAATTAGATGGCATGTAGATGCAATGTAACTTAAATTCAACAAACGGACCATCACAAAAATAAAGTGTGACTGAATAATTATTCTAATATTTACAGATATGACTTGTCCCACACGGAATCTGCGATGGCAGATTTTTAGCCAATTGTTGAGTCATTTTATTTAATTGTGTAAATGTTTTAAATTTATATTTATTCAGTTTTTAAAGGAATTTCTGAAGAAACCTGAAGTTTACATACACTCTAAAAAAAGGAACATAACCATATTTTTTAACGTCTAATGGTAAATCATACTAAACGTTTACTGTTTTAGGTCTGTTAAGAATACCTAAATGATTTACATTTGCTAAATGCCAGAATAATGAGAGATTTTTTTTTTTGTATCTTTTATTCATTTCTAGACAGTCAAAAAGTGTACACACATTTTCTTGGTATTTTGTTGGCTTTGCTTTTAAACTGTATAACTTTTGGTCAAATGTTTTGGGTATTCTTTCACAAGCTTCTCACAATAGTTTGAAGGAATTTTGGACTATTCCTCCTGACAGAATTTGTATAACTAAGTCAGATTTGTTGGCTGTCTTGCTCGCATAAGCTTTTTCCAACTCTGCCCACAAATTTTCTATAGGATTGAGATAAGGGCTTTGTGATGGCCACTCTAAAACATCCACTCGGCTGTCCTTAAAGCACATGTTAACTAATTTGGCAGTATGCTTAAGGGTCATAGTCTGTTTGGAAGACCCATTTGTGGCCAACATGATGCTGCTACCCCCAAACTTTACAGTTGGGATGGTCTTCCTAGGCTTGTAAGTTTTTCCCTTTGTCCTTGAAATGTAACACTGTTCATTATGGCCAAACAGTTCAGTCTTAGTTCCATCAGACCACAGGACATGTCTCCAAAAATTATTCTTTATCCCAGTGTAATTTAGCAAATTGTAATTAATTTTTGTAGATTTTGGCTTGTTGATTTTCCCGTGTTGTCACA